GAAAAGAAAAAAGTTTTAGGTCTAAAAAGAAAAAGAATCAAAATATAGGGTCTTTTATGGAAATAACCCCGTTCTTGCATGAAAAAGGCGAGAACTATCGAAATTGAAACACAGAATTCACGATACAGTCTATGATCCGTCTCTCCCAATTGTCACTCGGCAGTCTGATCGATTTATTCTCTTCATCAAGTAATCTTTCAACCTCGATCTTTTCCCGGCGTCCAGATTTCTGATCGATGGGGTAAAACTACGCCTACGTCGCATAGGTTTGTGTTTTGCGGTTACGAAATCAGAAATTCTTATCCTGTTTTTCCTTGATTGTATATTAAATCGCATGGTTTTTCTGTAAAACATCAAATATTTTAGCTGTTCGATTTGATTATTTTTATATGTTTTCCCTGTATTTATTTTAGCCTTACAAATGTTATAGTGTACGATTGACGATCAATTGTCAAATAGGCGATGGATACAAGTACTTATCAAGGTGGGACGGGTGGTGGTGAATCCACCATGGAATCTGTCGACTGGAGGACTCAGATGGCAGCAGATTCGCGAAAAAAAATTGTCATTAAGATGTATATTTCTATATACTCGAATTGATGTCTTAAGTCATAACCTATCTTTATCTGCATGCTTAAGAATTTGATTTGATCACTTGATAATTTTACTTGCAATAGTGCTGATGTTCCCGAAACATTTGCAGTATGGCATTCCCATCAGAGTTTTTCAATTTGGTTCCTTTTGAGTTCCTTTTCTTTCTTTTTCATTTGTACACATGGTAGTATACAAATGATAAACAAAAGGATTGTTTTCTTGTTTCGTGTAAGTTTCAGTTTATCTATGGGGATTGATATGTTCATGGCTCATTCTAAGTATGATCTTAACTCTGCACCTCTATTTTACCAAGTCATGTTTTTATGTAGAATGGATACATTGAAGAAGCATCATCCATCTTGGGCATTAGAGAAGCCACAGGAAATTAAGAGTATTGCTCAGAGGCTTGAGGAGAAGATTTATACTACCACAACAAGCCAAGTTTGTATATTTGATCCCTTGATGTTGGTGTTGTGTGCATGTGTGCTTTTCACCTTTTTATTGTGCTAATAGTTGCAACCATCTCGTATGAAACTGTAGCATATATGAAAGTTCATTCAAGATACATCGATATATCAAGATGCTGGAATCTTTTTCATGAGTTACTTTGATACATATCATTTTGCTCTTTTTCATTTGCAGTCTGATTATGTGCGGAAAATATCTATGAAGCTGTTGACCATGGAGAGTAGGTCTGCAAATCTTGTGCCCAATTCTTTGCAGTGCAACTCTGCTAGTAGTAGTGTGAACCCCTCTGATCCAGGTACTTCAGTATCTTATAATATCAGAGCTCATGGTTATGCTCTATATATATGTATGTATATCACCTCAAACTCTTTCAAGTATTTTTACATGATTATTCATAAACCTTGAGCAGGCTCTCATGGCATCCATCAAGTCAACAACCAAGGGCAACCCCTTCCTATTCCTGTTCCATCTAATCACCCTCAAGCAACTCAACAAATCTTATCACAGAGCATCCACAGTAATATTCCTTCATCTGGAGTACAAGTTTCTGCTGGTGTATCATCTGCATTACCACCTGTTAATGGTCTCTCACAGTCTACTATCTCAAATATTTCCTCCCAAAATCCAAATTTACAGAACATTCAAAACTTTGTAAATCAAAGGCAGATACCAACAAGGCAACAACAACAACAACAACAGTCTCAAAACTCACAACAATATCTATATCGACATCAGATACATCAAATTGCAAAGCATAATCTGCACATTCAGCAACAACATCAGAATTTGTTGCAGCCAAGTCATTTCCAACCTTCTTCTCTCTCTACAGCTCAACAAAATCAGCAACCTGTGATTCAACACCACCAACAATCAGCCCTAAGACAGCAACCACAGGCCTCCATTGTCCACCAGCAACCACCACCACCACAGTCGAATCCAATGGGCCAACAAACAAGTGCAACAAACTTGCAACAACCACAACAGCCAAGGTTACTATCCCAACAGAATAACCCTTCCAATGTACAGCAGCCACATCAGCACTCAATTGGTCAACATAAAAACTTTCCTACAATGAATCAGCAACACACCATGTTGAACAATCAACATTCAACACAAGTGATGCAGTCTAAGGTGTCAATTCCACAACAGAATCAGTCAATGCAAGGTCAACGTTCACAACCAGAATTACAAGTGATGCCACAGTTACAAACACAGTCAGGTCAGCTGCAGCACCAATTAAATATGAAACTGCAGTCAAACATGTCTCAAAGGGATATGCAACAGAGGCTTCCAACATCAGGTGCTTTTCAGCAGCAAAATGTAATAGATCAACAAACAGAAACAACTATTCCAACAACAGAGAGCTATGCCAGAGGCTTCATCAAGTAAGCTATATACACATCTCATGTGTGTATTGTATATTTGTATGTATACACTACTTTTTAATGAGTTAATCCATAGAAGTTTTTATTATTCCTCTGTAGCATCATCAGATTCCACAGCTCAAACAGGAAACCAAAATAATGGAGACTGGCAAGAGGAGGTGTATCAAAAGGTGCTCTGCTTAAAGCTATATACTTTAATGGTTTTTTGATTATATGAAATGTATTATAGGGTTTAGGACACATGATCACAAAATAGCTCTTTTTAATACATACAATGTTAACTAAAGTGTCTGTATGTCCTGCTACTGTAGTTTTTAATGACTTATGATTCTTCTCTTCACAGATTAAAGCTATGAAGGATAAATATATGCCAGAGTTGACTGAATTATACCCAAAAATCATGATAAAATTGCATCTGGTAAGTTGCTCATTAAATTGTTGATATCAATAGCAAAGAATATTAAATTCGCAAAATCTATCTCATGGATGACTTTAGTTGACTTGTGTTGACCACCAGCATGATTCTCTTCCTCAGCAACCAAAGAATGAACATTTTGAGAAGACGAAAATGCTTAAACACATATTTGATAGTTGCTTGAACTTCCTACAAGTTCCCAGAAGCAACATATTACCCATATATAAAGAAAAACTTGATCTATATGAGAAACAGATTATTAACATCATACTCACATTTAACCGAAAACCCGGGCCCCACCTGCAACAACCACTTCCTAGTCCTACACAAGTACATCCTCATGAAAGCCACATGAACTCACCGAATTCCACCATGTTTCAACTGAAACAACTTCAACCTCATCATCAAATGAAGCACCATTTTTTGCAAAAACAACAGCAGCAGCAATTTAACAGACAAACAAAGCAGCAGCAGTTGCAACTGCCTCATATTGGTGTCAAGATGGAATCTCTTACAAAACCCGGACCTCCATTTTCACCTCAGATTTCATCTCCAAATGTTGACCAGCAAAACCCGTTGACTTCTGTTGCTAAATCCGCCACCTGTACGCCTTTGCAATCTGCAAACTCGCCATTTACCATGTCGTCCCCGTCAACTCCTTCTACATCTCATATTCTAGGAGACTCTGAGAAGGTTAATTCGGGTATTCCTAATGCTGGGAATGTTGGACACCAATCAAATGTTGCCTCTCATTCTCAGTCTCTTCCTTTTGGGACACCTGGCATATCGGCTTCCCCTTTGCTTGCAGACTTCACTAGCCCTGAAGGAAATCACGGAAATAAGGCATTGGTTGTTTCTGGAAAGTCGAGTAGTACTATAGAAAAGCCCATAGAGCACTTACTCAAAGTGGTCAGTAATCACATAAAATGAAATCTTTTCTTAAATTTCTCTTCTTTTTCTTAAGTCAAAAAGAAACAGCCCCCAACTCTTGAACTTTTTTTTTTTTTTGCTTGATAGGTGAAGTCGATTTCAGCAAAATCTTTGAGTGCATCGGTTAGTGACATCGGGTCAGTTGTCAATATGATTGATAGCATTGCGGGATCAGGAGCAGGTAACAGATCAAGAGCTGCAATTGGTGAGGACTTGGTTGCCACAACAAAATGTCGCCTTCAATCAACAACTACTGGAAAAAGGAAAATGAAAATGGAACCCTTAAATGTTGTATCATCTGCCAGCAGTGTAAATGATAGCTTTAAGCGTTTCAGTTATTTGGAGGCCTCAGAGTTGGAATCGACTGCAACTTCTAGCATAAAAAGACCTCGGATTAAGGTATAATACATGTTTTTATCCATGTTAGGGTTTGTTTTATAGGTTCCCAAATTATATATTTATATTAAAAATGATGCAGACTAGCAATGCCCTTTTGGAAGAAATAAGAGGGATAAATTGGGGACTCATTGATACTATGGTTGATATCAGTGAGGAAGATGCAGGTTCAGGAATCGTTGTCAAGTGCTCTTTTGGCGCTGTAAACATTAAGTCACAATATGCTTCAGCAAAAGTGGTTTGTTTCTTTTTAATCTCATATAATTCATATGTTAGGACCCGTTTGTTATGGAGGATAGATTGGACTGATGTGACAAAAATTACAACTTTTTGTTCCACCCAAAAAAGTGGGAGAGGGATTTGTGCAAAAGACGTAAATACCCTTTTCATAGGCTAATCTGGTGTCCATTTTGTCCTGTATAACAAACGCGACTTTTAGCATTCTTTCTCCATGGAGTTGAAATTTTCTTTAATGGTTGTGCAGTTACCTATACAACCATTGCGATTGCTTGTTCCTGAAAATTATCCAAATTGCTCCCCCATACTGTTGGATAAGTTTCCGGTTGAGATTAGGTGAGAAAATCTCTTCTTTTTGTCTGATGTTTCGTGTTATGTAACATATGAATACCAATCAAGGTTAGGGTTTAGGGTTTACGGTTTTCATAATCAAATTTTCCTTAAATGTGATCTGGTGGAACCTAATCGAATTGGAATTCAAGATTCCTTTTGATAACACGTTTTTGGTTGCCAAATGAATGGAGTTAAATTATGTTGGAACCCTTCACATTCCCTCTCATTCATGGAGTTGGTTTGGAAGGAACTCAATTCCATTCCTTCTTGTATATGTTAAAAAAACACCATATACCCCTGTTATATAATAAATGTAAAAAATAATTATATATTTGGTGTTGAAAAGGGAGAGTAAGGAGGAGGAATTGGAGGATCTTTCAATGAAAGCAAAATGGAGGTTTCATAGTTGTGTGCGAATGCTTTTGGAACCCATGTCACTTGAGGAGATGGCAAGGACTTGGGACACTTGTGCTCGTGCAGTTATTTCCGAATACGCCCACCAAACTAGTGGTGGTGCTGGTGGGACCTTCACCTCTAAATATGGACCCTGGGAGGATTGCCTCACTTTCACTGCTTCTGCTTAAATTCTTACATTCTTTGTTTCTCACCTCATCCTACATCTATATAATATATTGCCAAAATTTGTTTAATGAAAAATACAAAATAGAAAGTTATTTGTGGTTTCATGTGCATATAGGATAGAAAGATATCTCTTTTAGTATTCACAACCATAAATATGGTCAATGTAATGGGACTTGGATTTGTAATTGAAAGTTAATAGAAATTGAAAGTTCATCACATGGATGTCATGTCATTAATTGCAATGAATCATTAATTAACAGAGTTTGTTATTTGTAATACTTATATTCACAAATAATAACAGATTTAACAAATCCATCATTATTTTGATTAATCACAAAAATAACCATCAATTTTCTTAGGATTGTTTATTATTCGGATAAAACCGAATTGTCCAATTGAACAATTTGTATTTATGGATTGGTTATGACCAAAACCAAATAATTATTTTCAATTTTGGATTGGTTTTTGGTTATTAAAATGAAAACCGAATAGTCCAATCAAACCGAATAACAATTATTTTTTATTTATTAAGATATTATCAATGACATGACATGAATAATTCTTGGATTTAAACTTAAAAAATCAAGCTTGTCAATGTTAACATTATATATATTCTTTTTAAAACTTTTTTGAATTTTGAAAACCAAAGAGTAAAAACCGATCTAACCGAATTATAATTTGGTTGGTTGAGATTGAATTTTGAATTTATGTTTAACTATTTACATCTATGTTTCAAAAACCGAAATCAATTCAGATGAACACCCCTAAAAATTGTAGCTCATAAATTTGCGAATTGCTCTCCAAGAAAAAAAAAACTTAAAGGAATTTTTGAAAATCAAATTAAAAAAAATCAAAATTAGAAAGTATGAGAATGTTCATAATTTATAAGAAGTGAAAATGATGGTAAACTTAACGGGAATAAAATAGAATAAGATTGCAAATAGTTAAATTTTATTTTATTTGTGAAATACACACAATTCTAAAATTTAATTATGTTCCAATCTAATATATTTTTATTTTAAAGTGTTTAAATCTCAAATGATTAGCGATCAATCATCTTAGGGTGTGTTTGGGTTAGCTTTTTTTATCATAAAAGTGATTTTAGGAAAAGTGCTTATTAGCTTATTTTTCAAAAAGTTGTGTTTAAAAAGTGTTTGAGTTAGCTTTTGTGGTAGGAAAAACTGAAAAGCTAATAAGTTGGTTTTAAAAAATGTTTGACTTAACTTTTTAGATGTAAAATGACCAAAAATGACATAGTTATATATTTAGAACCATTTACCATATAATATTTCACAGTTAATAATTTTTATACACAAAATTGATAATTTTTTAAACTTTTTCTTTTACAAAATATATAATATTAATTTCTTTTACAAAGTAAATAATTTTTTGATTAGACCATGATAATATTAAAATTGAGTTCATATAAAAGTTGAATACAAATTGTAAATAATTCATTAAAATACCATAAGTGACGTAAAATTACATTCATCCCTACAATTCCATTATATCTTGCGCAATAATATCTCGTATCGCTGCCATATACGAATCATCATTATCCGTGCGATGTGTAGTTGGACCTTCTTCATGACCTTCACTACCAGTGTCACCTCCTGTGGGATTGTAAGATTCTTGTTGTGCTCTGTTAAACGCTTCATCAAACATACCAACCTTTCTAATATAGTTATGAATCGCCATCGATGTTATCACAATACGCACTTGGTTTTTGTACTTGTAGTTAACATGCATGTCTCTTAATAACGCCCACCTAGCTTTCCACACTTCAAAAGTTCGTTCAATGATATTTCACAATGATGAGTGGTGAAAGTTAAACGTCTCTTTCGCTCCACGAGGAGCACGCATAGCAGAAGTCTGTCCTCGTCGAAAATCCGGTATATGATATCGAATATTAGTACCTTTGTATGGAGCAAGATACCCTTTAGTATTTGGGTATCCGGCATCAACAACATACTATTTATCTATAAATAAAACAAAGATATGTTATTCGTTTCAAAAAGTATTAAAAACATAAAACTTGTGTGTATGAAAAAAAATTATACTAACCACCCCTTGGATGTGGAAAATGAAGATCCGGTTTTTGTAAGGCTTCATTGAATATTCTTGTATCATGTGTAGTCCTCTCCCATCCGGCCCACACAAATGTAAAGCACATGTTAAAATCACAAAAAGCCATTACATTTTGTGTAGCGTATCCCTTTCGACCAATGTACTTCGCTTCCTCCTTTTGTGGAACGGATGCCTTTATATGTGTCCCATCTATAGCGCCAATGCAATCCTTGAATAGATGATATCGACGTTTGTTTAGTATATATTCGGGAACATCATCATTATAATTTTCAGCTAGTTTGATGATGTCGGCACTCATCTTCAGCACGGATGCCAAAACTAAATGAAAATGCCTATGAATCGTTTCTCCAGAATGATTAAATTTTTTTTGAACAAATCTATTACTACATCCATGAGCCAAAGTCATCAAGAACATGCCTAGTGCTTCCTCAATAGACATATTTCGTGTTTGTTCCAATCCGTAACTTGTAACAAGATGTGTGCATAATTGTCTAAAAACAGGTACGTGCACTCTAAACATCTCATAACATCTTCTAGGATGGCCATTTAAAACCTCATTAATAAACATTTGCCCTGTACGGTTTGAAGTGTGACATGGCATACGTATTTTACGACATAACAATATCCCTTTTAGAGCTAATCCGCATAACATTTTGAATTCTATATCCTCTTCCACCAAACACACTTCATTATCATCGAATGAATTAGAGTCATCACTTTCCATCCTACATAAGTAAAAAAAATATATCGATTACATTATGGAAACAAAATAACCCATAAAATAAAATGTTGATTACATTACATCAAAGGATAAATCAAAGGATAAATCAAAGGATAACACATAAAGTCATAACACACAAAGTCATAACACATAAAGTCATAACACATAACACATTAAGTCATAACACATAAAGTCATAACACATGAAGTCACACAAGTCGTTATTTTATTAGTAACTTCAAGAACTCCATCTTTGCTTCATCAGTCGTTGGAAACATAAAAGTTTCACGATTTTGGGATTTGGTGAAGGCAAACAATGCTTGTGAATAGTCATTGGAACCTTCATCGAAACCGGGAAACTTTATGACAACCGCCATGCAATCAGTTATTGTAGGAGAGGGGTTATTTTGTGGAAAGGTTTGTGTGCTTTTTGTTGATATGGCATCCAATAAAGCATCTACTTTTTCCTCATAAATTGAAGTTTTACTCTTGGTTGATGGGCTGTTGCCAACATTCTTAGACTTCTTCCTTTTACCCGAACTACTTTCAAGGAAACTTGTAAAAAAAGGCTCATCATCATCTAAACTGATTTCATCACTATCTCCTTTCCCCTCCTTATTTTCTTCATTTTGAAACTGTAACAGAGTCATAGTCTGATTTCCAGTGGCAACGGAATCCCGAACCAAAAGAGCATATTAAGGGTCGAACATGCTCAAATCTGCATCCCTAAATTTGGCATACTCTTTATTCGCCTACAAGATAAGCAATTAATGTTTAACTCATCGATTCCACTATAGCATCATAACATAAAATAACTAAAAAGAATATTAAAGCATATATCCAATTTCACAGTTAGCACAACTAACAGGAAAGAAAGTAAAACAGCAAACCAAGACAATTCATCAATTTCATTGTTAACATAAAAGTTTCACAGTTATACAACTAACAGGTTCATCAATTTCACTTGTTAACATCAATAATCCCTCTCCAATTTCATGAATTTCTAGTTTTATAGTTATAATTACTCACTTTCATTGATTCCAAAAAAAATGGTGGATGGAATACCCACTGTGGGTACCGAACCCAAAAACCACAACAGTGAATTCATGAACACACAAAAAAAATAGATGAACATACATATCTGAGATGCAATAAACAGAAAAAAAATCGGAGAAGGAATTGATGAACAGAAAAAAAAAAACTCGAAGATGCATGTCCAGATGCATCAAATCTAGATTCAATGTAAACTGAAAAAAAAAAAATCAGAGATTGAGGCAACTCTTACCCGATCGAAAGTAGAGGTCGAAGCCCAAGTCGGCGCCGCTGAGGATGGAGCAGAAATCGAAGGAGGATGGAGGAGCAATCGGAGGTACTAATGAGAACGAGAGATATTGGTGAGAGATTGGGGATGAACGAATGTGAGGGTATTTTTGTAATTCTGGAGGTAAAAAGATAAAAAGCTCCGATTCCTTAGCTTTTTGGAGCCTTCATATTTTGCCTGTTGAAAAAGCTTAAAAAGCTGCTTGAAAAGCTATTTTACCTTACCCAAACACAATTTTAACTTATTAGCTTTTGGAAAAGCTAATAAGCAATTTTAAAAAGCTATTCCAAACGCCCACTTAATGATGGCAATAAAATCAGTATTATACAATGTATACCAAAGGCCAATAGCTATGTTTGTCATAAGATGGGTCTGGTTTGTAGTAGTCATCACGTGTAACCTGAAAATTGAAGTTAAAACAAAAAAATATGGGAAATGGACTTAATAAGGTAATTAAATTTTCGGTTTGTTCACATCTAGGTAACTATCTTTTTTTTGTACACATCTAAGTAACAAACTTTTTGAAAGTGTTCACATATGACTATTATGACCGGCTGTAGCAGGTTACATCCGGTCATAATGGTCATATGTGAACACTTCCAAAAAGTTCGTTACCTAGATGTGTACAAAAAAAGATTGTTACCCAGATTTGAACACACCGAAAAGGTAAGAGTAAATTAAACGAATGGTCCATGTAGTTTGGGTAATTTATGTGTTTGGTCCCTAACTTATTTTTTTAACTCGGATGATCATTACTGTTTATTTTTGTTGTGTGTTTTGTCCCTGTTTTACCTCAAAAGACTATTGTGCCCTTTTTAATTTTTTTATTTTTTTTCTTATTTATGTACTTATTTTTTATATATTTTAAAAAAAGTTGATAGACCCCACATATTTGTATCTCCTCACCCTAAACCTGAAACCACATTTAAGAAATTTAAGTTGGGTCTCACTAGTCACCATTCCATCTCTCATCATCCTCAACTTTTATTTCCTTTCCATCTTTAGTGATATTGACGTCTTCATCATCCCTTATTTTTTCGGTCCTTCAACTCCGACGAACCAACCCCACAACCCACTGTCTCTTCTGTAACGCTCTTCCGAATTGACTTCTAGTCTGAGGCTGTGGGCCGAAGGTTGGTCTTCATAAGGAGTATGGCTCTAGAGAAGGTAAGA